TATTCTCTCGTTACCTCATCACAATATCTCTTTCGTCTTCCTCACTTCGACACTCTCCCGTGTAGCGGGAGAATTGGCACCGATACCAAAAGTAAGACGTTCCCTCGACACGGCTGTTCGTATTGGATTCGATTCCGTAAAGAGAACGCTGAGTTGGAAAGGGAGAGCAGCGCCGCTTCCGGAAGATCCGGCAGCAGTGAGGAGGAGAGAAGTTAATAGGGCGTTTGCGGAGGTGTTTGTGGGGATCGTTTTTAAAGGGAGTGTGGGGGTGAAAGAGAGGAATAAAAGGACGGTGGAGGAGAAGAGGAGAGATGTTTTAGAAGCGTTTTTGAAGGGGTTTTCGCGTTGAGGGAACGGTGGGGATGGGGGAGGAGGTCTGTGGGTTTTTTTTTTACAAGAGTAGCGAGTGGATGGTAATGAATAAATGAATTATTTTGGTGTTCTTTTCTATTGTTACTTCTTAGCGGGATAGATTGGGAGGGAGGCCATTATTGTTGGGGTTTGGAGGGAAGGATAGGAATAGATAGATGGTCGGACGGTCGGGTGGGACAGCTTGGAAATGCTATCTAGATGCGTGTATGTAACAGTCTAGGAAGTAATGCCTATAAATAAATTATAACTAGATGTTCTTCACAACTTCTATTGCTATCAGTGTCACAAAAAATATCACTGTCCCACTACATGGCTCTCATCACTGCATAGATCAATGAAAAAGTATTTAAAACGTATTATATCCCATTAATCATTAAATGACCCCCTATCCCCAGAAACGAAGTTAAAGTTACCCAGGTATCTTCTAGAAAATTAATAAATACTAAAAACATCCGTCCCATTATCATACTGCACACCACACACATCCACAAACGAACCCACCACTTCCGCTCTCTCGCTCAGCCACTCCTGCACGTCTTCCTCCTTGCAACTTGTTCCGGGACCTCCGGTACAAGTAACCAAATCCTGTGGACTATTATTTACCAAAACTCTGTAGTAGGTTCCGGCCTCGTAACCAAAGCTATCGCATTCCATTTTTTCGATTGCGACGTTGGTGAGGAAGGGGAGGATAGCGCTGGATTTCCAGGCGCGGTTGTAGTTGATGGTGTTGAGGGGCATGGTGCCATTGATATTGTTGGCGCCGGAGTAGGCGGAGTTGTTGAAGAGACCGAGTGCGACGATGACGGTGGGAGGGAGTTCGCGATGGGTGAAGGAGATGTAGAGATCTTGATCTGTGGTGGCGTTTGAGGCGTTGTTTTGTTCCGTCATGAGCGTGTTGAAGGTGGCGTTGACCCAGGGGAATCCAATGGCGCCGGAGGCTTCGTGTCCGTACCCGGTGTTGTAGAAATATTGGATGTCGTTGGTGTATTCGAAGCCGAGCCAGTCGGTAGGGGAAAGGACCGAGAGGTCGCAGAAGGGCGAGGAGCCGCGGATCACGGTTTCGTAGCCGCAGAGAAGGGACATGCCGTAGACGTCGTTGGAGGTGAAGTTGAATGCGGGTGCCAAGCTGTTGAAACGTGCGGTGACGGGTTTGGTGTAGACTTCTTGGAATTCACCGGATTCTTCGCTTCCGCCTGAGGAACTGTATGCTGGGCATGCCTTGTATGGAGTCAAGGAATTGGCGCTCGAGTTCTTTCCTTCGTATATTTGGACAATCTCAATATCCGAGGCATCGTCTGCGAGACCATTGGAAAAAGATTGCGCGGTCTTCACGGTTCTTTCTGCAGTGGACGTCCATATTTTATTTGGGGTTCTCAGACTTTGATATCTCTGCGCGATATCCACACCCAAGTTTGTGGCCTCCAATTTACCCGATCTGGTCAACATTTCGATTTCGGGATCGGTAATAGGAGCTTGCCATGTTGAGAGGAAGGAAAGACTTGGAATGCTCGCCCAGTTCACAGATGTGTTTGCGAGCTTTTGTACAAAAGGCTCAATGTATTCTTCGTAGTCGAAGTCATTGGCATAGATTGCAGCATGGCGGACAAGATAAGCAGCTCGAGTTACGTTGCATCCTTGAGGAGGAGCAGGATCAGTAGGGGGATCTTGAGGATCGAATGGTGGTGCGGTTCCAGCTAGATGCTCCAATGGATCGAAAGAATAGGAATTGGGTGAATGAGAGACTACATTGGTAGCTTGGAGAGCGAGCGTGAGGAGAACTGAGGAACGCATCTTGAGATGGATGAGGAGAAAGAAGAGATAGGGATGAAAAAAAGAGAATTGCGCCCTACCGGTTCTGGTACCTTACCTTATATTCATCCATGATTTGAGAGATCTTCACCGCAAATCTCCCCAGTTCATCATCACGGCTTGAATTTGCAATCTTGGTACCGACTAAATCAAGGCACAGGGAACGGTATCCACGATGCGATGTATTTTTCGTAGATGTGTGGGCACAAGTCGGCAGCTAGCTCAACAGGTTTGTTGTTTCTTGTTGTCGGTGGATTAGCTTGATGTCAGCCAAGCCATTTATATTGACGAATCACCAGCCACATTTATGGGTCTGTTTAGCACGAAAGTAGTTAGCCGAATTGGGTGACGGACATCGCTCAGGGGTGTTGGCGCAGTCCCGAGCGCACCAGAGTCAGAATGAACTACGGGGGTTACAGTCATTTCGGATGAGATTATAGGCTCTTTTAGGTGGTGTATGTCTTAAGGCCCTATAAGGCTCTAAAAGTTATTGCCCGCTCTGCTAAATTAGGGTAGTAAAGCTTATATCTCAAGCTCAATTAGGCTATAGATAGGCATGATATTCGAAAGCCCGAAGCTTAGAAGCTCGTTAAGCCGAATATAGGCTCAAGCTATGCAAACACAGATGTCTCCCGACAACTCCGTATTGCAAAAGTCGGAATAAATCCCGGTGCACATGTCACAGAATGACGAACATGATTTCCGACAAGCTGGCTCAGCTGGATGCTGAATTACCTAAGTTTCTCATGGAGAATAACAAAATGGTTCCAGACTTTCATAGATTTGCTGTCTGTCTGATTTCACAAAGTCTTTACTCGTTCACACTAAACATGACCTTCGAAGTCGATGATTCATAACTTTTCTGTTGGAATGTCTATTTTCGCAATCATAATTTGACGTTCAACTTGACGTTCAAAGTCTATCATGTCAATATACATCTTGCTCGTATTCTTCAACGCCATTAACTTCATTTATCAATCTCGTTTTCCATCTCGAACTCAAACACTGCAATAGCTAGCTTGGATTGATCTAGTTTCAAAAGTCAAGAAGACAAGTACCCTACTCTCTTAGGATATTGAATCCTTTCTGTTTCTAATTACATCTACTTACATCCACAATAAACTCTCTCAAAATTACCAAACTCTCCTCACCCCTCACTTGCCATAAAAGGTCTCAAATCAGCCTAGATCACATGTCTTACCCCGGTGTCATCGCGCGCTATTGACAAATATCACAACTTTATTATCCATATTGCAAATTTGCCAACGATGTTGCGCCTCGTATCTTCCAATGTTCCTTTCAACTATTAACTTCCTGCAAATTTAGCCAAAATCCTCGCAATTATCATGTAACCCGGTATGGGGAACCAATGACTACTCCCGATATATCCTCTCTGATTTTAGGGAGATGCTCCCGCTTGTCTTGAAATGGTATGAAGTTCTTCCTTGATATACGACCGCAATTTAACTTCGACAGCGAACCTTTATGCTGGAAGAAACAAGACATCATTGGTTCCTCCGATGCCCTCGATTTATTTCCAAGCGTCACTTCATTAAATTCAGTGCGTATTGCTTCATCCTACCAAGCTCTCCTCTACTCTTTTCTCTTTTTTTTCTTTCCCTTTACTGTCCTTCTCCTTGGGTCTTCTACTCGGCTTAATCCTCACCTAACGAAGACTTTGATTTCTCTCTAAAATTGCATTGCAACTTGTTCTTGCTCTTTCTTGGAGAAGCCCTCCGTTCTGGTGAAGTATCAGGTGAAATGATATTCTCGATGCTCTTTTTATGCTCTACAACAGTTCGATCCTTCTCTTCCCGCTGGAACATCTATGAACAACATCTCAAGGCCAGCGCCACTAACGAGTTCCTGGTGGGGTATCGACCTCAGGGTCTCAGGATGACCTGTCGTACCAGTATAAGTTTCAAAAACTTTCAGTGAGGTTGAATATCAGCTCACCAGACAATCAAAGAACACAGCACGTGTTTTCCGTTTGATAACTGCCGCTGTCCAGCTTAATGTAGAGTTCGTTCCCTTAGATGATCTCCTTGAAGATTATCGCGTGTTTATAGCGTTGGGTGAAACGATCTTTGACATCGCGTGCTGCGACTCCTTTGAATTTCCTCCAGAGCTAGTGACAGTCCCGCCGAATATGGCTAGGAATCTACCACCCACTTTTATTTCCATACACTTCAGGCTCATCTGTTTTGGGGCGCAACCTCTCCTTAAATTACCACTGGAGGTAGGACCTTGAGGGCCATCCTAATACATGCGGTTTGGATCTCAGAAAGCTGTGATGCTTAGATGCATGTCATCTCAAACACATCTCTTGCGTGATCGTCAAATCTCCATATCCTGGTGCATAATATTGGTATGCGTTAACATACCGACCGTCGAACTCATTATTCTTTGATAGAAAAAGCATCACAGAAGCAGGTCAAAACAATCATTCCTTGATATTTGGCAGCTTGCATTTCCAATCGTTCATGTTCAGCGCGATGCTTCGATCCTTTGGTGCTTTGTACTGAATCTGACGAATACCATACTCTGGCCGTGGTTTGATACCTAATTGTTGATTGGACAACCTCTGTGACCTGATTCGACCATTTCTCATAGTTGGACAGTCAGAACATAGTTTCTCAATCTGTTCGATCTTTCTCTCTCTTTGTCTAGCCGAAACTCCATTGGGCAGGTGACAGCAATTTTTCGCGTGAAGATCCCAAGATGATGTGGTGCAAGAGGCGCGAAGAACCATATTTCATGTCCTCAAGTGGTAATCTACATTGGACTGGTACATCGTCGATATGAAATTTGAAAGCAAATCACTTCTGTTTTACCTCCACACTTGCTGTCAGGAATTCAATAGTCTTGGCTCCCTCATTCGAATGAGCCCTTTGCCGGGCACCCATCGATGCTTGAGAAGCTGATTCTAGACCTGAGTGGATCTCAGCATCCGAACCGATCCAGGATTCGCAATGCCCTGTGCGGATAGTCGTCCAACATTGTTCTCTGAGTCGTGCGAGGTTTTCCCTATAAAAAATACCTCAACCTAGAATGGCGACGAAGAACACTCATACAGCTGGGAACTCTCTGTTGATGAATAGTCACAACATCCCCTCGGGTATCTTACCACGATTCTCTAGACAAGACTTTGAAAGAGTCAATCCCAGTTGTTTTATGACCGGTTTGGGGAAACGACGGCGAATTCGGAGAACACAAATTGACCTTTCGGGCACTATCTCCCCTATCCTGCTGCAATACCCTCTCTACTGATGAATCCATATTCCAAAGATATGATATGAAAGATACCTTGGAAGCTAGATCTTCAGCCCTTAGGAAATTCTGATTACTATTTAGTGGCTCCCTTCTAGAATGCAAAGCACCTCCTTCTTTCCCCTTTTTTCTCTAATGCCTGTATCGTATTGAACACAATTTGACGATCACATGCTAGAGCAAATCGATAGAGGTCAAAACAACTAGAATAAGAAAGCTAGAGAGGAAAACGATCTCTAAGTGTGACGAGGGATCGCATAGATATGTGATATTCGTCACATATGGTTCTCTTTTTATATTTGGAGAGCTTCACCTGTCAGCCAGAGCTAACGAACATCTGAATCTTTCTCAAAAGTTGTATTTTTTCGGATCGGAGATCCCTTAATCTGCTGGTGAAAATCCATCTTCTAGTTTTGTGTAACATCACTGATTCCCGATAAAATACAAGAAGTCAGTTTTAACTGAATAGCTTATCTCGATCCGGTAAAAATATCTTCCAATCGATAGACCATGTCACATCTCTAGCGAAAAATTGTCGCCTGGATGGAGTATCGTGCAGCGTACTTGCGTATGGAGTGTGTCTACTCTAACCACTCGAAAGCGCATCTTGCCGAATTTATGCAGCTCTCTGCTCGTCAAGATGGGATCTTCCTTAATCCTCGTACCCCCTACAAGTATTCCTTCCTCGTCGCTGGAAGTATGGAGTCGATTATGTGGGGATTTCGAATGTTTTGCGTGTGTTTCGTATGGCACAGGAAGCTTCCAATCTCACACTGCAATTGCTGTCAAGATTCACAGCTTGCAGTGCCATCTTTATCGCAATCTGAGGCAAATCGACAATACTTCCATGTTATTTCTTGCCTTTAAAAGGCTCCCTCTCCTATAGCATTCAATCTCGTATGTAACAATGATCACAAATTTGCATGTCGCCGATATCTTCGACTACTACTGAGAGCGCCAATTATCCCTGTCGACTTCTAAGACGAAAAGCTGATTCTGGGTACTTATTAATCTCAATAACTTCGATCCCGGAACCCATCTGTCTTCTTTGTCTTGTTAACCCTTCATTCAGCCTTGCTCGAACCTTTACGGGCTTCGCTGCATGATCTACTAACTCCAACATCCTCTCATTGACTCAAGAATCGTTGGAAATTTGAATGTGAGAAATCATGTATCCTCCATATGAAGATCACGATTAGCTCCGTGTGATGATTCGTCCGATTAGCAATTCAGAAAGCAACCTTTGGTACAATGTTTTTCAGATCCTGGTGTGATCCGAATATGCTCGACGATCCTGTCTGCAGTCCTGTGAAATGTCCGTACTTTCAAAGATAATCCTGTTCAGGATGTTAAGTAGTCATCACCTGAAAAAGGTTGAGCGATGCCAGAGATTGGAAGTTATGCTGAAAGCAGGTTTCTTCCGACGTTTAGTAGCCTGAGAATTTGGAGTTAATGTTGTTGTGGGTGAAGATGAAGTATCTCAATCCTTGGTCTTACTGTCTCCAGTCGTTCATTGCTTAGACTGCTCCCTCTTATCCATCGCACATACTCTTTTAACTATCCTCCGTTCTTCTTCTCGCTCTAGAGCTGCGGATCAATCACGTTTTTGTATTGAGAGCAATATGACTGCCCATGCCTTCTGAAGTTTTTCTTCTTGCTAAGATCATCACACTTGAAAGAAGAGGACTTCACCAAGAAAATGAACGTTTCCACCAATCTACGATTCGAAGAACGAGTTCCTCGAGGTTCATATTCACAGCCAACTGATAAAAGGTAAGACCGAGCTTGTGAAGTTCGTCGATAAGTACTTCCGTGACGGGACACATATGGGGTAGTAAATCGTTTAGGCCATGCATATTTATTAACCAATAAATCATTCTCTCTTCATTCGTGATTCGGTGCCGCCGGCAATCGTATAATATAATTCAACCGTGACTCAATCTAGGAGTTCAAGATGGGGATCCCTGCCAAAATCACATGGCTTCGCGTTAAGCAACTAATGCATGTGAGTCCCTAAGTAACAATCCCAGGTTCTTTCGGATAGCCGGATCGGCGAGTGTCCATGTGATCTAATGTTGGCCTGTAGAATTTCGGACTGAATCCGTCATGCTGGTGATGGAACTCCCTGGAATGTCTCTTTTGAATCGAAGCGCTCATTTTAGGATCCGTTGAACGGGCCATCAGTCAGATCAAAGTTCAATTCCAAGTCATTTCCGTGGATTTTGAATCTTCAGATGAGGAAATTCATATGGAAGAAATGGGTTCAGCAACTAGAGTGACTGTCTATCTTCTGATTGATGTTTGGTTCATTGTGGTTGCATACCCAATACTTCCCTCCATTCTCGACATATCTCTTGTCGAGTTGTAACCATTTTTCATTGCTCTTTAGAAATTCGAGAATTTCAAAAGGTGTGTTGTGTACCCAATATGGCTGAGCCTGAAGATAGTCCAATTTTCATTCTCGCAAATATTTTCGAGCAGCTGAGCAATGCTGGATGCTTGTGTACATTGTTTGACTTGTTATTAGTGAACCTCTAACTAGAAGCCAGGAACTCGAGATTGAACTTTTCGTAATTGAATTTTGAGTTAACCGATTTTGAAAATATCGCTCTTGCCCTCTGATAGGCGAGGCAAATTTCGTTACCGAAGGTACTGCTGTAGGCCAGACAACAGAGTCGAATCGGTGAAAGAAATCTTGCAATGTATACCATCTCCACGAGAATACTGCTCCACTCTCATTTGCTGCTCTGATTCAAGAATAAACAGTCCCATCTTTGGGCCTTCTTACATCCTGAACAGGGGTATGTTAGTAGAACGTACAAATTTATGGTACGCGTCGGCTTTGATAGCGTTACATTATCTGCAGCTCGTTGCAAGACCACGGGGCGAACTATTCGACTTGGTCATTTTTCCACCTGTTTCAATGGCGACAGAACCATCGCATTCGTATATGTATGCGAGGACATCGGCTCATCCGAACCTATTACTGTCACCAAAGAAGTGTCCATTATTGTCATTTGATTCATGCTATATGGAGGTCGAGGTCGGCATCTTTGAATATCACCGGGCTGAAGACACCTGTGCTCATGTGCCTTTGAAAAAGGTACTCTTGCTAAAAGATCCCGTACACGACTTCCTCCGATGCCATCGCCGTCAATCGCCTCTTCCTTGTGCAATGATGACAAGCTCGAGGAAGACTGAGAAATCATTCGCGAAGACTTGCATTACAGTATCTGCAGAAATAGCAGGGTCATCCCAGACATTATTTGCTCTCTTTCTTCTCCTTCTATCATCTTTCTCTTCGCTAATAATGATACTTCGGTTTTCAAATAGAAGCTCAATCTCTCCCTCAATTTAGCCGAAGGGTTGTTATAAAAATGATTGTCTGGCTCAGGACCTTGATAGCCGACATGGCAGCCATAAGAGAGAATAAGGGCAAGATGATGGCCAAGAAATCCTAGATAAAGCTGAAGGAGAAGACATCATGTATCAATAATATGCACATAACCCTGAAGCATATGCGTTGGGATGTTATCATATCTTCTTGTTGGGCTCATCATTCGAACTTTCTCGTTCACTGCGATCCACCACGGAAATTATCTTTTCATTTTTGAAGATGATGTCGCTTTTCGGATATCCATTGGAAAGTTCATCAGTCTCAACATCGGCATTTGCCTTCTTGTGGTTCAAAATGCACCCAAAGAGCTGTCTGCCCAGCAGCATATGCCACGGTTGTTGACATGTGGTACCCAGGTGACTTGGTCGACCTTGAGAGCTGGAATATTGAGGATTCGTTCTTTCAGAGGTTAAAATCTCTAAAAAAAATGACTGCGTCGCCAATCGCTGCTTCGTGATATATTAATAAGTTCTCGATCATCCCCTTAACATTCTCTGTGACCTAGACTCACTATTACCCAACCTGAATTTTTGTGGTCCAATCAAAATTCCCAAATCGAGCGTACGCACGAATGCCTCTTCAAACATCTCTGTGCCATGTCTGCAAATTTCACAATAACTGTCCCATCTCAAAAGTTATTTGTAAACCTAATGCATCCGAACTGTATGTGATCGTCTCCTACGCATCGTACATACAGTGGACACGTTAGTATCCCTATGATTTATCAATTTCTTTCTTCTAGCGACTCCCATAATGCTAGCAAGCACAGTAGCATGTCTTTTGCAGAGGTGTGGAATTCAATCCTTGTGTCGCCGACGCTAAAGCGCTGCACTGGAGAGTGCTATTTACTTCTCTCTCAACTCCGCAAGGAGTTTCGGCAAAACCAAACGACCGGAACGGACGCATGTCGGAACATCATGGCAGGATGTGAGGATGAGTCAGAGTATAGGCCGTAGTAGATATCCCGACGATTTGGGGATTGGAAGAATTATTATTCCAAGCAAATGTACGTTGCGATGTTGCAAACTCCATAGGAAACTCCCGTAGTAGATTAATGATTGACTTCCTATATAGTGGAAGCTTAGATTTCATAACGACCACACCAATTTCCTTGAAATTTTCCCAATCGACTTGGTGCACTTATTGAGCGAGGTCATTTCTCTAGACTCGGTTCGAGAATGTATTCAGATGCATATCTACCATATCTTCGTGGTAACAGTAGACATATACGTACAGCCGACAAACCCTCTGCGTAAATTCGGAATTCCGGGACTGTGCGGCTCAATATTGCTGCTCAATTAGACCTTATAGATTTTTCAGTCTTCGGCGCCTATGTTCATGTCGATATCAGCAGATTAAAAATAGTATGTTGATTAGCGGGCGGTCAATTGTTGAGATCGTTAGTTGTTAGTTGTCGTACTTGATTATCTTCTTGAGGGCCTTTAAGCATCGTAAGTGAGGCTTTCGACGTGTATGGCAATCTAGGATAACATGGTATGATGGTGAGTAGCATCGGACATTTGAAAGAGTCCCCGTATTCGGGCAATGATGTGCAGGAACACAAGGAGAAGAAAGCAAGCAGAGAAGTCAACAGACTTCCAAGCATCTTGAC